GTGGAATCAATCTAGATAGCACAGAACGGTGGACATTTGGGGAGCTCTGGTTGGAAATAACTAACCAGCAAAAGTAGGAAGATGGACCAAAAATTGATTGTTGGTAGGTTTTAGCAACTATTCTGGGGATATTGCCAACAATAATGCGCATGCAAGTCAAAAAAAAAAATGTAATTTGAGATTTCCCAATCGCGATGGGGACATCTTGTTGGTGGAGCCGCATCTCGGAAAAAGATAAACCCGGGTAAAGATTGAAACAAACAACTACTGATGTACAAATGCATGAAGAACTTGCACAATCATCACGATCATGAGTTTGCAATTGTCTGAGACATAGGCATACTTTTGTACATACATACATACATACATACATACATACATACATACATACATACATACATACATTACATAATTACATACATACATACATACATACATTACATAATTACATACATACATACATACATACATTACATACATTACATACATAACATACATTACATTAATACATACATTACATTACATACATACATTACATACATAACATACATACATACATACATACATACATACATACATACATACATACATACATACATACATACATACATACATACATACACATACATACACATACATACACATACATACATACATACATACATACATACATACATACATACATACATACATACATACATACATACATACATACATACATACATACATACATACATACATACATACATACATACATACATACATACATACATACATACATACATACATACATACATACATATTCCATACATACATTCCATACATATTCCATACATTCCATATTCCATACATACATACATTACATACATTACATACATTACATACATTACATACATTACATACATTACATACATTACATTACATACATTACATACATTACATACATTACATACATTACATACATTACATACATTACATACATTACCTACATTACCTACATTACCTACATTACCTACATTACCTACATTACCTACATTACCTACACCTACATTACATACATTACATACATTACATACATTACATACATTACATACATTACATACATTACATACATTACATACATTACATACATTACATACATTTCATACATTTCATACATTTCATACATTTCATACATTTCATACATTACATACATTACATACATTACATACATTACATACATTACATACATTACATACATTACATACATTACATACATTACATACATTACATACATTACATACATTACATACATTACATACATTACATACATTACAGACATTACATACATTACATACATTACATACATTACATACATTACATACATTACATACATTACATACATTACATACATTACATACATTACATACATTACATACATTACATACATTACATACATTACATCCATTACATACATTACATACATTACATACATTACATACATTACATACATTACATACATTACATACATGACATACATTACATACATTACACATACATACATACATACATACATACATACATACATACATACATACATACATACATACATACATACATACATACATACATTACATACATACATACATACATACATACATACATACATACATACATACATACATACATTACATACATTACATACATTACATACATACATACATTACATACATACATACATTACATACATACATACATACATACATACATACATACATACATACATACATACATACATACATACATACATACATACATACACTACATACACTACATACACTACATACACTACATACACTACATACTACATACATACTACATACATACTACATACATACATACATACATACTACATACATACATACATACATACATACATACATACATACATACATACATACATACATACATACATACATACATACATACATACATACATACCATACATACCATACATACCATACATACCATACATACCATACATACATACATACATTCCATACATTACAACATACATTACATACATACATACATACATACATACATACATACATACATACATACATACCATACATCCATACATTACATACATTACATACATTACATACATTACATACATTCCATACATACATTACATACATACATACATACATTACATACATTACATACATTACATACATTACATACATTACATACATTACATACATTACATACATTACATACATTACATACATTACCTACATTACCTACATTACCTAATTACCTACATTACCTACAACTACATACATTACCTACATTACCTACATTACCTACATTACCCATTACCCATTACCCAATACATTCATTACATTACATACATACATACATACATACATTACATACATTACATACATTACACATACATTACATACATTTCATACATTTCATACATTACATACATTACATACATTACATACATTACATACATTACATACATTACATACATTACATACATTACATACATTACATACATTACATACATGCATAACATACATGCATACATGCCTACATTACTGCATACATTACATACATATACATACATATACATACATATACATACATATACATACATATACATACATATACATACATATACATACATATACATACATAAACATACATATACATACATATACATACATATACATACATATACATACATATACATACATATACATACATATACATACATATACATACATATACATACAAATACATACAAATACATACATACACATACATACATATACATACATATACATACATATACATACATATACATACATATACATACATATACATACATATACATACATATACATACATACATACATACATACATACATACACATACATACATACATACATACATTCATTACATACCATTACATTCATTACATTACATTACATTACATTACATACATACATACATACATATATATATGACATATAATTTACATACATGTTGTAAACAAACCTGTCTCCACCATTGCCGCTCCTGCCACTTAAAAGTGCTCTTGGGGCAAACCAGGTCACCTGCTGCCTGGCTCCCAGAGGTGTCTGCATCTGCACATGTTTCTACCTTTAAATCTAAGGCGTCGAAGAGTCGAAGATCACCTGGCTTTTGCGGTACCATAAACTACCCCAAGAACATTGGTTTGACCTGTGAAGAGGACCATTGTTGGGGGTTCCTTATTTCAAGACATCCCCTGACCCTCCGCCTTCAACAGCATGGCCACCTTCTTGCACACCGATCCTTCACCTCAGACGCTTCTTACTGGGCTTACAACATTGTTTTGGATTATCCTTTGGTAGCTTCTCATAGCCGTGGTATTATACATGCTATAGATGGCCCATTTAGTTCGACAATTTAGCTGTTGAAAATGGTCTTCATTGGTTTTCAATAGCAAACTATTAAATTCCAGATGGTATTATACTGTATATTCCACACAAAAATATGGCCTGAGTATGGCAGGCGCTGCCTCAATTTTGCATTTCTTTGCAGCCAACGAAGAAATCGGAAATGATCGGACATGGATCTGGCTCAAACCTGGATTCACATCCCATCGGAACCAAGACTATTCTGGCAAAGTGTTTCGTATGTTGACTATATAGTGGGAACTATAGGGTAGCAGAGATTTGGCCCACAAGATCTGAAAATTATTGCACTGGCTTGTCTTGAAAATTTGAAAATTGTCTACTGTATAAACCAAAAGTCCCATGTTAATCCGGAAAATGGCGATCATCCATTTGAATTGAGTGTCCATTTTAGGACAAAGCCATCAAGGCCTTTTTAAAAATCTCGTCGTCTCCACGTTCACCCCCGGGTCCACTCCCAAGCCAATGTCGACGTGTTTTTCGATCCCCAGATGTACAACCATAGTTACAGGGGTCATATCCCAACTTACGGAGGTTATTACCATGCTCATACCCATCAGTAGGCACCCAAATAGTACAACCCCATAAAATATCCCCATTGATAGATGATGTTCCATTAAAACACCCTTACAAAGCCATGAAAAAAACCCATGGCCGTCCCATTGCGCGCGCCTTCGGGTTGTGGCAACTCAGAGACCGCCACCAGGTGTCGAACCAGCCTGTGAAGTGGGAAAGCCCTGGATTGTCCCCATCAATTTGATGGGGGTTCCTCTAGGTTTTCCCTTAAACCAATCCATTAAAGGAAGGTTAACAAATCGATATGGCAAAAAAACAAAACCTATGGAGAAACCGCGGAAAATGATGTAATGATGGTTTTTTTTTATGTTTTAGCCATATATCATCATATATCTACAGTAGTTGAAAATTTGCGGATGGTGATTGCCATGAAAAATGGGAAGAGTCACCAGCAAACACGGGGATGAAACAAAGAAACTGTGCTGTGTGTGGTTGCACTAGAAACCAGATGTGAGGAAGAAAAGAAAAGACAAGAATATGGAGGTATCCTAAAATGGCGGTACCAAATCATCATTCTGTTTTTGGAGATATTCCATTGTAAACCATCCAACTATTGGGGTACCCCCATTGTAGGAAACCTGCTGGGGAATCCTCATCAAGCCCAGGCCACATCGTCCTCAATTGACTCAGCCCTTCATTCACCGGCGATCAAGTTTTTGGACCCCCAATTCACAGATTCAACCATATTCAACTATACCCTCTGGTAATTTAACATAGCTATTGAAAATCGCCATTTATAGTGAATTTTCCCATGAAAAATGGTGATTTTCCATAGTTCTGTTAGTTTACCAGAGGGTAATTCAACCATTCAAGATCCTGACCTGAGAAAATTTTCCCAAAAAATCGACCAGAGAAAATTTCGGCACTGGGAGAATTCCTCTGGGCGCCCGGCATGTGCAACTGCTCCCCCAACTTATCCAAATGGCCTCCAGCCTTGGTTGCACCAGTCTTTCTGACCATTCTCCCGCTTGGAGACTATACAGTCTTTACAGTCTATACAATCTATGCATGCATGATATTTTATGATCGTATATGATTATGTGATTATGTTACTATATGATTACATGATCATTATATATATATATTACATATATATATATATATTGGCACATGCTGAATGCGTGTAAGTCGACCTCGCTCCCACCTGAAGTTTTTGATTTGGGTCCACCCGGCCAAGTAGTGGCGAATGCCGGCGGCTCCTGAGGGGATCCGGCGGACGTCAGGAATGATGCCAAGGTGCAACTGACCCTTGAACGGAAAGGAAGGAGTAAAGGTTTTTAATGGGTTTAATGCTTATTTCTAGTACATTGCGCATGCTCAATGATGTAGAGAATTCCTCCATCTTAGGGGGGTCCATTTCATTCCATTTCTACCCTCCTATCATGGTCTACCACCTGGGCACTTTTTCCCCAGTAGAACCCCCCACCTGCGGAATGAAAGCGTTGGAAAAGGCCCACGCAAGTGGTCCAGTATTTCCGCCAAGCCTCGGTTGTTCATTATGTCATTGGGATGGATGATCCATGGATCTTAAAGATGAATATGTTCATAGATCCAAGATCTTTAAAAATATGATCATCTAAGATTGATGATCATCATTTATTCATATATTCTCTATTAATATAATGATGATGATAACCATAAATGATCTTTACTATCATCACTATCATCATTACTATCATCTTCATTCATGATCATTAATATTGGCCAATGGGGGCTGAATCCCGGCCACTGTCCAAGTGCCCCAAGTGCCCCAAGTGCCCCAAGTGCCCCACCGCGCGTGCTGCAACCAGTGTTTTCCTTTCGCGACGTGGGGAGGTGGTAAGATGGCTGAAGACCATAGATCTTATAACTTATATATATATATACATATATGATCGTTAATCTTATATTCATACTATCGTCTTATATGAATATATAATATATATATATAATATATAACATTATATAACTATGGTCTTATATTCATACCATCAATATATGGACCAGTGGGCCTGTCCCATTTATAAATGGGTTATAGCTGTAACCAGTTCCGATTCCGTGGGATGATCCTCCAGTTCATGGACCGCGACCCCCGGGCCGGGGCTTTTCGAGTCTATGTGGGACCCATCTCTCCTGTTTTGACATCTGGGATACACAAAAGAAACTGGATAAACAACGATAAACAGGCATTGTTTATGGATAGATGATAAATATGATAAGCAGATGTTTTGGGATGTCAATTTTTCAGTTCCAGAATTTCTGGAAAAAAAGGCCGAGCGCCTCCATGCGACCAACATCTGATCATCCAGGAAGTTCCCCTCGAACTCCTGGCCGACCGATCCCGGCTCCCAGTGAGATGATTGATCCCTGAACTGAATATGAGATGAAATTGATTTCTTTATACACTTGGAATTGAATGCCAGTTATCATGATTTATGATGATATTATCACTATTTATCATATTTTACCATATATCATATTATATTATATCATTACTTGTCATGATCTACCATAGTTTATCTATACGTACTTATGTCACTTATTTATACTTATGTCACTTCTAAGGGGAAAAAATGAGCCAATTCCTCTTCAGCTGAAGCATCCCTGTCCCAGCCAGCGGCCGCCTCTGGACCCTTCCACAACGCAAAAAAGACCTCGCGGTGTGCCGTGGGATGTTTGGCAATCTGGTTGAATGGTTTCCCATGGTTTCCCATGGTTTTCCGTGGTTTGGTTGTTCGATGTTTTTCCCTGATCAAACATGGCAAATCCACAAAAAAGATCAAAAAAGGGGACACCGAATCGAAGTTTTCGCGCCCATCAGCCCAGCCCATCCCACCTCGCAGATCAAGATTCCAAAGGCATAATGATCCAGGCGCCCAGCGTACTGTTCTGGGCAGTTGATGCGGGCAACAAAGTGGCCATGCTATGCGATGAAAAGAAAAAGAAAACTCACAGAAGTTTGGAGAAATTGGATGAAATTGGAGATATAGATAGATATACATCATTAAATACCATTAAATCCCATCAAATCCCAGATCCCGTTAGATCCTTGCTGGGATGTGCCCCAGAAGTTTCTGCTGCATTCCCCAGGCCGGGCTCGGGCTCCCGACGCTGCCAATAGACCTTGGGATTGTTTTCCAAATACCTGCAGGGCCACAGTGCAACACATGCAAGGTGCTGCTATGTGCTGCTTCAGAGTGCGCTAAGTTGGTTTATAATTAAAATATTGTTAGGAGATGTTAGGGGTTATAAGCCAACTTATAACTAGGGGGCACCACATTGTGCAATCGCCTTCACAAAGCATAATTGATGTCAAAGCGGGCAGTTGGATCACTGGACACAGCCCCAAGTCACTTTGAACTGCCCAACTGCCAGGCATTCGTAAAGTCCTATCTGAACATTGGAGTTTTGGTTGATACATGGATAAATCCACCATTTATGTAGGGGAAATCCCTCATCCATGGATGGTTTAAATGGGAGCCCATCTATCAACGATTATAAACGTTGATTGCCCAAGAAAATTGATTTTTCCTGATGGTTTTTTTCAAATGTGGCCAGTCCTCAAAAACATGGGAACAGCTCCGGCCTGTAGCCGTGTGTGAGTTGCATCCACGCGGATGGTGCAAAGTAGCGGGGGTCTCCAGCGATATTGCGACCCTGGCAGGTTGAAAGATCAAAAGCTAGGAACTGGGATGGTTCAAGGGGAAATCATCGCATATGATAGTTGAATCCTCCTTTTCCCATGATTAGAAGCCTTGTTCAACGGAAGCCATGGTTCCAGCCAAATATATTGTTCATGTCCGATGCCCAGCTATCCGGAGCCGTTGAGGCCATGATGGCCTGTGATGTCCAGTAGGTAAACGATTACTGTTAGAGGCTGCAATTAGCCACATATATATACATATACAGTCATATACATATACATATACATATACATATACATATACATAATACATAATACATAATACATAATACATAATACATATACATATACATATACATAACACATAACACATAATACATAATACATAATACATATACATATACAGATACAGATACATATACAGATACATATACATATACATATACAGATACATATACATATACATATACAGATACATATACATATACATAGACATATAAATATACATATACATATACATATACATATACCTCTATATATATAATTATATACATGTGTATATATATATATATACATATACATATACATAGACATATAAATATACATATACATATACATATACGTAGACATAGGCATATACATATATATATACATACATATACATATACATATACATATACATATACATATACATATACATATACATATACATATATAATTATATGCATGTTGTATTATCATATACATATACATATACATATACATATAGACATATAAAGTATACATATACATATATACATATGCATAGACATATAAATATACATATACATATACATATACATCTATATATATAATTATATGCATGTGTATATATATATATACATATACATATACATAGACATATACAAATACATATACATATACATCTATATATATAATTGTATGCATGTGTGTATATATATACATATACATATACATATACATAGACATATAAATATTCATAAACATATACATATACATATATTATCTATATATATATATATAATTATATGCATGTGTCATATACATATACATATACATATACATAGACATATACATAGACATAGACATACACATACACATACACATACATCTATACACATATGTGTATATAAACACAGGCATATACACCATATTTATGTGTGCGTTATATCCGGACACTTTCCCCGCCTTCCACTCGTGCTTCCACCCACCCGAACGCACGGCAAGGCCAAAGTCCAGAACCGCAAACTGACGGCAGCCGCTGGGACCCATGGGTCGAATGGGAATAGAAAAACCGGGGGTTCTCAGGGGGGTATCAAAAGATATTCGGGGAGAAGGGACTAGACATGTTTGTCAAGTTCTTTTGGATATATTAGCGTTCAACCAACCAAATCGCTCAGCAAATACATGGTACAAGCCCAGTAGGTTGGTTGATACCTCAAGTCTAGTATCGAATTTCTCACCATTTCTCACCAGCAGAACCTGGGATTTCTTTTGCACTGAACGTTGGATGGCGTACATTCTCACCTTGAATTACCCTGGATCTTGGTGGATATTGAGGTTTAATCAATCACAAACCGCAATCAAGATCTGTATGCATTTGTCAAGTGAAAGACGTTTTGTTATAATAGCAACGCTCTGCAGACGGAGTCCCAATTGCGTGTGTTCTAAAATAAGATGCCTCGAAATCTCATGTTTGAGAAACATCCTTTTACCCCTTGCTGTTGTCATCATTTGGGGCAAATGCCATATTATGCATACAGCACTCAGTATCTATATATATATTATTATATTATATATTAATATAATGTAACATAATATAATATAATATACTATAATAAAATAAAATATAATATAATATAATACAATTTGATATGGTATGATTTAATAATATAACAATATAATAATATAATATAATAATATAATAATATAATAATATAATAATATAATAATATAGTAATATAATAAAATAATAATATAATAATATAATAATATAATAATATAATAATATAATAATATAATAATATAATAATATAATACTATAATAATATAATAATATTATAATATAATAATATTATAGTATTATAATATAATAATATAATAATATTATAACATAATATTAGATAATATAATATAATATAATATAATAATATAACAATATAATAATATAATAGTATAATAATATAATAATATAATAGGATAATAATATAATAATATAATAATATAATAATATAATAATATAATAATATAATAATATAATAATATAATAATATAATCATAAAATAATATAATAATATAATAATATAATAATATAATAATATAATAATATAATAATATAATAATATAATAATATAATAATATAATAATATAATAATATAATAATATGATAATATAATAATATCATAATATAATAATATAATAATATAATAATATAATAATATAAATTATAATACAATATAACATAATGTAATATAATATGATATGATATAATATAATATCATAAATTATAATACAATATAACATAATGTAATAAAATAGAATATGATATAATATAATGTAATATAATATAATATGATATAACATAATGTAATATAATATAATACAATATGATATGATATAATGTAATATAATATGGTATAACATAATGTAATATAATAGAATATGATATAATATAATGTAATATAATATAATATGATATAACATAATGTAATATAATAGAATATGATATAATATAATGTAATATAGTTTATAGTATAATATAATATAATATAATATAATATGATATAATATAATATAATATAATATGATATGATATGATATGATGTAATATAGTATAATATAATATAATATAATATGATATGATATGATGTAATATAGTATAATATAATATAATGTCATATAATGTAATGTAATACAATGTAATGTCATTTATATATATATAGATGGTTATCCCATTTTATCCCCCATTTTCGGGGACTGTTCGCCAGTTTCAGGGCCTTCAAGGCGTCAGCACACTCATCCTGTTCGTGATTTTTCGTGGGTGAAATCTGAGGTTGAATGATGTTCTTGGGAAAAAACTATAAAAATTGTGAAAAATGTGTTTTTCTTCTTGACCCCTATTGGCCCTATTGCATCGATTGGCCACAGAAATGCCGCGTTTATCGAGAACCTATCATGCAACAAGCATCAACACGCAGGGTCTGCATCCACAAAAAAAAGGATGTCACAACAAGGACGACAAGGACAACAAGGGCAGTTCGCGGGCAGCACTCTTGCACCAAGCCGCAATCAAGAAGTTGTGTGCGGAGATGTCACGATGAAACGCCTGGCACGCGATCGCTCCGCTCACATATCTAGCACCAAAGCAAGACTGGGGGTCAGCTGAGCAACACAAAGCTTGGGTTGTGGTTTGGGCAATGCACATGGTCACAGTAGATTCTGAAGGTTCTAGGGGCGCAAGACTGAAACTGTGATTCTCCAAATTCTATAGTTGCCCCTGGGAAATCTTCAGATCCTCAGCTCCCAGGCCTTCTTCTCACTGCCCATCTTCCCACATGATACAGCCACAAGCTATGGCAACTGTGGGTCAAACGACCCAGAACTGTACAGTATGCTTGAAAAGCATGAAAATTACTGAACCCATCTGAGGTCCCAAATTGGTTTTCAATGATTTTGACCCCTTCCGATATGGGTCTGCTTCAAACCTTCAAACCTTGTAACCCCAAAATCCCGTTGTTGATCCTTATTTTCCCAATTGACGTTGCTGTCAGTTGGCGTCTCCGCCATTTTGAGAAAAAAACCCATACAATCACTTCCCGCCAATACGAAAAAATCAGTCAGAACCTCTGGTTTGGTATTTGATCCCTTCATCTTTGGGGTCTGTGGAGAATTTTATTCCTAGGAGGGTCTATAATTTATAGCGAGAAAGAAAAACAACGATTATAAATCCCAATTTAGCAAACCCAATATGCATATATATATATATGTATATATATATATGTATATTATATATAATGTATATATATATATATATATTATGTATATAAATAATATGTATATATATATATTATGTATATATATTATGTATATATATTATGTATATCTATTATGTATATCTATTATGTATATCTATTATGTATATATATTATGTATATATATTATGTATATATATATATCATATGTGTATATATATATATATATTATGTGTATATATATATATGTGTATATCATATGTGTATATATCATATGTGTATATATCATATGTGTATATATCATATGTGTATATATATATATTGTATATATATATTGTGTATATATATATATGTATATATATATACGGCAAATGCCTGGGCTTTGCCCGGACCCGCAATGACGACAGGCGACGCATCATCATCATCATCATCATCATCATCATCAGAATTAAACCCTGATTGAAGATTTTCAATGAATGTAGAAGTGCAACGGGGGTGGGAAAATTAAACCCTTATTGAAGATCTTCAGTGAATGTAGAAGTTTAACGGGGGTGGGAGAATTAAACCCTTATTGAAGATCTTCAATGAATGTAGAAGTTTAACAGGGGTGGGAGAATTAAACCCGTATTGAAGATCTTCAGTGATTGTAGAAGTTTAACGGGGATGGGAGAGCTAAACCCTGATTGAAGATCTTCAATGAATATAGAAGCGCAACGGGGGTGGGAGAATTAAACCCTTATTGAAGATCTTCAATGAATGTAGAAATTTAACGTTGTTGGGATTTTTATATTCCCTAGTACCTTTGTTGATCTTCCCATAGGAATTTAAGGTTTAACGGGGGTGGGAGTTTAATATTCCCTAGTGCCTTTGTTGATCTTCCCAATTGAATGTAAAGTTTAACGGGGGTGGGAGTTTAATATTCCCTAAGTACCTTTGTTGTTTTTCCCATAGGAATTTAAGTTTAACGGGGGTGGGAGTTTAATATTCCCTAGTACCTTTGTTGTTTTTCCCATTGGAATTTTGTGAAGTTGCATCAACATTTGTTTGGGAATGGGAACCTCTACGCTGCAACGCCTGGGCAAAGCCCAGGCGTTGCGCGTATAAATATATATATATACACATATTATGTGTATATATATATATATTAATTCTGTATATATATATATATATTAATTATGTGTATACATATATAATACATGTTTTATATCATACATATTATGTATATATATATATAATGTATATATATATAATGTATATATATAGATGATATATGTATGTATTTACATACGTGTATATATATACTATATATACATATCCAATTGCCAACATTACCCAAAAAGCAGTGGTTGATCATTTGATCATCACGTTCCCACATGTTCTCATTGAAATGGCAGTGACATTGGTGATACATCTTCCAGAAACTGGCCCGTTCCCATGAGATCAACAGGTCGGCCGGGCAATCTTTTGCAGGGTCCCAAAGACCGGTGTCATTTGCTTCATGAGAACCTCATCCCAGATCTGGGGAATCTGGGGAGGAGGTTTGAAACTCGAGATGATCAGGTTATCTAAAGCATTGGCCGCCTCGCTGACCAAACACCATTGGGGATATCGTTGGGAGGATAGCGCAATCGAAGAGGGATACGAACCCAAAATTCACAGGTGGGAAAGGGATCCACCCGGATCCCAAGAAGTTGACAATCAATCGGAACCTTGGTTTTAGTGATGGAAGACTGGAAGATGACAAATTCTTGACGAATGGTTGGGATGTTCCTCAAGGAGATCTCCTTGACTCTGTGACTCTGTGAAGTTGGAACTGCCCCATGTTTCATGGATCACCCATGAACCCCACGAAACTTGCGCCATGGAACCCCCAAACCACCGATTTCGTAGGTCACATTCGCAAAAATGACCATCAAAGTCGAGTTCCATCAATTAACATACTTAGCATTCCTGAGGAGTTTCATTTTATCAATACTTGGCTGCCGCTCTCCCGGCCATTGCCATCAACGAAAATTAAATGATCTCCTCGAGACCAACCCCCCATGGTGGGTCCCCAGCCGCAACGATGTGGCTCGCTGACTCCAAGCTCCTGACACGTGTTCCTTGAACAAAAGAAGCTGAGCAGCTTACGCTGAAACTATGGTCCAAAGATTTGACGTGTTGATTCCTAAATATCGCTCTGAAAGGATTAGAAGAATGGGCCGACGAATCGGGTGAGTTGTTAAAAAGGAAACGCTCGTGTTTGGATGGCAAACGCTGTCAACACGAGGGTCTCTACCATTTGCCTATCAATCAACAAAATGGAACGCAAAAAGGTATCGTATATTTCAAGCATCGTGCTAACCTACATATGGTCTCCGTGTTCGGTCCATCAGCTGCAGCATTTTTAAATTTCATGGGTTGATGACCCCTCCACGCCACCCCCGATGGTTGCCCCTGCTCCATTCCCAACTCCGCACACCTTACAAGAGCTTCTGTTTCGTTCGTTTCTTGGCGCAAAACCACAAAAGTTACGAAGTCGTCAACTCCAAAGTTGAGATTCCTGGATTTATGATGGTTAATGATGGTTTATAGTCTGATGGTTTATAATGGTTACTACCAAAAAAATTCGGGCTGATCATTCCATGACCTGGAAATCCCCCCGTCCTTGTGGAGCGTTGCCCCTTTGGCAGCGGCCCATCCAGCAGGTCCGGCATGCCTGGCGAAGTTCTTGGGGGTAACCCCGCCCAAGGCCACTAACCTGGGAACCCCAATGCCCAAGGGTAACCCCAAACCTCACGGTTCACATCTATAGAATCTATAAAATTTTCATACCTAGTCTGGCAAAAACTGGGGATGGTTTTCTCCATCCAAATGTCTTGCAAGGTCCGGTAAATGGTCCCATTCAACCAAGTCTGGAACGATGAAATTTGGTAGATCGCGATGGCTGTACATCTTGCTTGGGTGATCTTTAAAGTCCCCAAGGTTTGGAGCAAAAAATATGATCAACCTGTGGTTGAGCCATTCCCGTCAAGAAACCTATAACCTCCATTGTGATCATTATCCCATTCATTGAAATTGGGCCCCAAGAAAGAAATTCCACCAGTACAAGTCTCCAAAAATCCATATCTGGTGTCAACGGTTCCCCGGTGGTTTGGTGCTTTGGAATCGCAGGATTCTCATCTCCAAACCACCAACCTAGCAGCTAACCATTGACGCTCAGCGGCTTCACCGTCCAAAAAGATTGGTCAATTGCTATGGAAACAACGTCCCAGGATGGAATTCAAAAAATATGTCAAACCACCAAGCGTTGATTGTGGATGTGTACATATAAACAATTATATATATATACACATAGATACACGATTACATACG